AAAAAAAAAAAAAAAAGATTGTCATCAAAAGATTGAGATATAATGACAACATAAGTTGTCATGACTCATGAATAGGTAAATATTTAGCGACAAAATTGATTGTCATTTTAACATTTCATATAGTGACAAATCCAAACAAATACACCACGATTACATATTGTCAAAAAAAGTATTTTAAATGACAATTTAAAATTGTCACTACTACAAATATTATAATTGTCATTAATTACAAATATTTAGTGATAAATTTATTTGTCATGAAATATATAATACAGTGACAAAAAACTATCGTCACTCCAAACAATTGTCATGAAAAAGAAAAGAAAATACAGTGACAATTTATAAATAACATATGATGATAATATGTTGCAGATGATAAATTAAAAACCGACAATAATAATAATTTTGCTAATTAAAAACTTCAATAAACGAACTAACAATCTCAAAATGTTCCAAAAAAATAATAATATAATAATAACAAAGCTAACAATCTCATATTATGTTCCCATTGGCAGCCATAAAAGCCATAAGTTTGTCTACTTTTGCATTCAAATCACTAACTTGGTCCTTAAGCTCAATCACTTCCGATTCTTTCTCACGCAGCTTTTCTTGTGTCTTTAGAAGCTCCTTCTGACCATTCGAGTCATATGCCTTGCGTCTACTTGGCGGCCTCGGGCCATACCCATAACCTTTTATATATCCAGCTCCATGGCCAAGAACCTCAAGAAGTATATCTTGTGCACTCTTCTCAACGCCTTGTTCAGAATATTTTTCTCTCCTTGATATCATCAAGTCCTGCCAAATACCAATAAAAATTATATAATCATATTATTATTCATTTCAACAATTAGAATAAGAGATTGTGCATGCAACTTACCCAGTTTTCTTCTGCCTCTTTTGTTGACCAACCACCTTTTTTCCTTATAATGCGTACGCTTATAAAGCTCAGTCATATCTAGTGGTCCTCTATTCATCTCCTTCTCAGACTATAAGAATTTTTAACCATAAGCATAAAATAAGCATAAAGAGTTTAAATTCAAAAAGAAAAAAAAAACTATTGATCATAAATAAATTAATATATTCAACATAATCTTACTATTTCATGTCGAAGAACACTAAAAGGTGTTCGGCCTGAAACATGTGGAGCATGCAACATTTGTCGATTCGTCACATTAATCAAACTTTGGTGCTGTCAAATCATAAGTCCTGTGGTTGGAGAAAACTAAAAATATGAAAGCTACAAATTTAATATGCAAAATAGAAGAATAATGTTAATAATGCATTACCTTGAATTTAGGCGAGGCAAAAAGCTCACACATTTCTTCCTAGTTTTCTTGACTAGCACAAAAAGAGGGCTTGTTATTCTTAGCTTCTTCATGGGACGAATATTTCTTGTAATGTTTATGCAGTCTGTAACGTTTTTGGCGTGAACTAACTTGGACTCTATCAATCACGCAACGTTTTACACCCGGATAATCCAAATTAATATCCATGTGGATCTACACAAATAAAAATGAGATTATTTAAGGTGATATAAAAAACATATTCATGCGACTTGAAAAGTGGTTTTAATTTTTACCTTTATATGATCAATACCAGGTTGAAGATCTTTTTCTTCATCAACATCTTTCCACCTTACTGGCACCATAAGTACATCTCTGGTGACTACACCAATCTGACTAGAAAACTTTGAAGACTCGTCTCTACTTTTAGGTCTTCCGATCGATGGATCCACAGTTACCTTCATTTTTTTCCCGCAAGCCTGGAATGCCTTCATAATACCTTTGCCCATGGTTTGTCCACGTCTTTTCTTAATGGTGGTATTGAAAGTTGCATATTCACCACTCAATTATTTTAATTAGTCAAAAGCATCATACTCATAAGATATAAGAAAACTTAAAAATATAATCGATGTTCGATCTCTTAGACACAAATAGGTAGCACAACAAAATTGATTGAACTAATAAATGATAAGCAATGTATAGTGTTAATGAATCATGCTCTGTTAGAATTTTTCAAATAAAGAAAAAGAAAAGAAAAAAAGATACATACAGAAAAGTATTTAGCATGAGCCTGTCACATTCATTCAAGTAAAGGGTAACCAAAACAATTCACCAATGAATAAAAACATTTAGCAGCATAAAAGAAACTGGCAAGAGACTGATCTATAGAGGGTGCTACATAAGGATGTATTTAAATGCAGAAACCACTCAATAGTTTACACTGACAGCTATCTATTCAGGTACATACTAAAGAAACAGTCTCCATAACTCTGATTTACGTCATTTCCGCCCGAAAATTACATAAATCATCTACCTGACAATAAACTACTTTGTTCAAACACAAATTTTCATATAAGCATAAAAGAACTTCTCACTAGTCACTAGTATGAATATTGACTTTTGCGAATCTTTTATGATGCAAAGACATCAGCCATTAAAGCATGCATGTGTGACCTTGTGTATCATCCAGATTAAAATTGTCTGGTCGACATAATATGACAATATATGCTCTTAACCTTATTTTAATTACTAGTAAAAAACTTCATACTCATAAGATATAAGAAAACTTAACAATATAATCGAATGTTCGATCTCTTAGCCACAAATAGGTAGCACAACAAAATTGATTGCACTAATAAATGATAAGTAGTGTATAGTGTTAATGAATCATGCTCTGTTAGAATTTTTCAAATAAAGAAAAAGACAAGAAAAAAGATATATACAAAAAAGTATTAGCATGAGCCTGTCACATTCATTCAAGTAAAGGGTAACCAACTTTAGTCATTGCCAGGCCTAATTAATCCAAACATTAGGCTTTAGTCATTGCCAAGCCTACTAATTAATCCAAACATTAGGCTTTAGTCATTTAGCATGAGCCTGTCACATTCCTTATATGTCGAGCATAATAGAAACCGGCACAAGAGACTGATTTATACAGGGTGCTATATAAGGATGTATTTAAATGCATAAACCACTCAATAGTGTGATATCAATTCAAAAGGAAACATATTGTACTGCCTATCAATACTTGAGCTAATACGTAAAAGAATAATGAAATAAAAAGATCATAGGGAAGAAGAAATTTGTAACATCCCGACTTTTTACTGAAATCAGAGTACGCGTTTTTCGCAAT